GGCAGGGGGAGCCTGCTGGGCCCTGGCCGGTGGGCCCCGGGCTCCCAAGGAGCAGCCCCGCTCGGCAGCAAGCGTCTCCCAGCACCCGGAGGGATGGCTTATTCGCCGTGGTGTGGGAAGGTTAAAGATCAAGGGCAGAAAACAAGCTCGCGACTGAATGTCTGGAGTCTGCCAGGGGATCGGTTCTGGCCCCTGCGGCAGGGCGGGGAGGAAGAGCTGCATGGTGGGATGAGGGCTCTGCCAGCCACAGCCTTTCCCGTGCTGCAGCTGAGATGCTGAGAAGAGCGAGAAGAGAAGGATGAAACGTGGCGAGATTTACTGAAAGAGGTGAAACTGGATCTGTGGCCGTCGGGGACAGCCAGACAGCAAGAGAGCCCACACCGTGGGGGACCAAGGTCGCTTTATGAGGGACTACGGGGTGACCGAATTAACCTCAAAAGCACAAGGGTCTGCCCTGTCCTTGGGCAGGACACCTGGTGAGGGATGGGCTCGTGCTGTGTGGACATGCACAGGGAAATACACAGCTGGGAAATGCGGAGAACACGATCCCAGCCGAGCCCAGCGCTGGCAGCCTCGCAGCCGAGGTCTGCCTTCTGCTCAGACACCGACTCGGACGTGGGCATTGCTACCAGGCTGGGTACCAGCATGAGAGGAAGGGAGCTGCTAAGGAGTTACCGATGTTGGAAGAAGCCTTCCAGCGCTTTGCAGATGGTATAGCGCTCGGGGGGGGTCAGCAGGTGCTCCAGCTGCTGGGTGAAGGTCCTTCCCTGGATCTTGATGCTAGAGGGGAGAATCTCTGCAACCCAGTGCAGGGAGGTGAGGGCAGAGGAGGTGCTCGGGGAGTCGGCAGAATCGGAGTCTGCAAGGCGCGGGTAGAGAGAAAAAAGAAAATTCAACAGACAAAGGGTCTTAACCACGGGTTAAAAGGCTCGTCCCGAAGCTGGGGGTCGGTCCTGGGGACAGCCGGGGCAGCTGCAGCCGGACACAGCAGGGAGTTTGTTCTGTGGGCTGGGGATGGCCCCATCCCCTGGGCAGGAGCGGGAGGAGGAGCAGGATGGGGATGTGGCCCTGCCGCAGGGAAGCGTGCGAGCCCGTCAGGGCAGAGCTGTGCGGCTGGGAAGCTGGGCTCGTCCTGAGCAGCGGTTTTGGGCTGACACGTGTTGCCCCAGCCCCTGTCCGCAGCCCAAACGGCTTGCACACCTCTGGGTCTTCCAGCTGATGTCTCTCCGCTAAGGGAGACCTCGGAGCACGGGGGTCTCTGCTCCATAGAAATACAAATCTTGACGTGCCAAGACAGACACTGTTGCCACAGGAGGGGGGAGAAAAAAAAAATCAGATTTTGGTCACTGGAAGGCAGCACGGTGACAAGGTGAAATGGCTCATCTGGAGCTGTGAGTGCCCTTGCCTTCCTCCCCTGCTCTGCACTATCTGCCCTGGAGCTCGTGGCTGTTCCAGCAGGTCCATGGACCTGCCCGAGACAAGCAGGGGTTTCTGACTGGGATGCTCTCTGGGATCTGTCTCCTAACCATGCTTCTTCCACACCTTCTGTGACCGTGTGCAGATGGTATTCGTTCTCTGGCTCTCTAAAACATCTGCTCAAGTTTCAAAGCACTTCATGATAATCATTGACTTCAAAAGAAGCATCAGTCCAGGGTTAGCCATGAGCAAGCCGAGGCCTGGACGCTTCGCCGGGCTCATCGGCGCTGGTCTCTGTTCCCCCTCTGCAGTGAGTGCAGGGCAGCACGCGCAGCCGGGAGACGGGGCCTGACCGAGACTGCGGGATGCACTTATCCCTGTAGGAGCACGGCCAAGGTAGAGGGAGCAAATTTCCATCTCTCCTTGGTTTCCTTTGGGGGGCAGGGAAGCAGTTTGAGTGCCACTGGCTCTGTCCTGTGAAGCGGTGAGGTGCTCGGATTTGTTTCTAGCGCACGTGCAAATGACTTGGGCTCCTAGTGTGAAGCTCAGGGGAGGCCATTGCTGCTCTAAAGGGAAGAGCAGGGCCCCAATTCCTGGGCCAATGCACTGCAGAGCAGCACCCCAATAACGCCCTGACCCTCCTGCCTTCGCATAGCTGCGGAAACGCAGCCATGACCGCGCTCTGCCCTGGGCTGCCGTCCTGCCCCTCCGCTGAAACCGTGCTGACAGCCACCCACGTTGCCCCAGATACCCTCATCTCCTGCTGACTTGCAGGCTAAATTATTCATAACGGCAGCAGTTATTCTAACAGCACAGCCCACACACAGCTGTGGGGTTTGCGCAGCGACCATGGATGCACAGGGTTGGATTACTCCGGTCAAGTACACGGCACAGACTGCACGTAAAGGACGTTGGCGAGGGCTGTCAAGGATGATCATACAGTAGGATGAACCCTCCTGGAGAGCAGCCAAGCCTGGGGTTAAGCCTGATCCCAGAACGCAGGCAGCCGTGTGCCCCAGCGCAAGGAGCACCCCGAGCAGCGTTGAGCTCCAGGCAGCACGTTAAACCTGCTGAGCCCACGGAAGGTATCGGGCAATTCCCTCCCACGCGGGGAACTGGGGAGCCGGCGCGGAGCTTCTGCGGCTCGGGGCCCTCTCCTCGCCCCTGCGGGGCAGGGGAGGGCTGGCGTCAGAGCTGCCCGCCTGCCTGCGCGGGCAGCTCTGCAGGCAGCAGCTCGCGGGAGAGCGGCGATGAAATGCAGTTTGCCACTGGCTCTGTTTATCTTGGAAAAAGCCTCATCGTGCTGAGCCCTGCGGCGATTCCCCTGGACTCTCAATCTTTGCTTGGCTTTATCTGTGCTGCGGAGAAAAGAGCCTTCCCGAGGGAGAGGGTGAATTGTGCCCTGCGACCGGGCTCCCCGCTGCACCCGCAGCAAGGAACCACCTCTGGGCACGCCGGTGAGCGCCCTGCCGAGCTGTCATGGCAGACGAAGCCGGTGTTCCTCTAACTACGCTCAGACCCAACAGATGAGCTCTTCATTTAAACGATACCGTGCTGTGGGTCTCTGCCTGTCCTAATTCCGCGGGAAAAGAGAGCGCAAGGTGGATGGAAAACGCATTTTTGCAGGCAGGACTTGGGGTGTCCTTGGGCAAGGGTACGGGCCAGCCTGGGACAACGCCTGCCAAGAGGCGGGCGCAGAGGACGGTCTTCAACCTGGTCTCCTCTGTTCCCTGGCCGTGCTGCATCAGCCAACGGTTTGCTGGATCAGCTGAAACGTGAGAACCTGAGCACTGACAGAAGCAGCATCAGATGTTTAACCTTTAAATATTCATCACTCTCTCTTATCGTGTAACCTCTTCTAACCCCTCGCTCTCACTCTCTGTGTGGAAAGACCAACCTGAGGAAAAGGGGCTGCTGCCGCTGCCCGGTGAGGTGCGCGGTCAGCTCGGGTTTGATGCTTCTACTGTGTGCAAATAACACATAGAAGAATTAACTTCTGGGTGGAAGGGTGATTGCCCATGTGGTTTGAAGCTTATGATACCATTCTAGGGGTGATCTGTGGTCTGGCTGGTGCTTTGCTCTTTGCAAAAGCAGAGCCCCAGGTGTTTAATACAGACAACCCACGGTGGTTTGCATCGGGGTCTGTGGGGGGGCTGCAGTCGGGACACCAGTTATGCACAGTGTGTCATGTGTTATATGAGGTTATTTGAACAGAGAAGTCAAAGGAGGAGCAGGGGTGGAGCTGACATACTACTCTTGGAGCCTGTTTTTGTAAAAGAAGAGTAAAGGAGATGCCCGTGAGGTGCAGAACCACTCATGCACCTCAGCTCTCCAGGACAACCAGCTCTCGTTTCTGTTGCACAAGGGTGAACAAGCAAACATGCATTTGGCCACCTACCACCCCCCGGACCCCTTCTGAAGAGCCTCTTACCTCATGTCCAGGCCATTGAGGAACAGGATCCGGTCTCCAGCCTTGAGAGCAGCCTTCTCAGCTGGGCTCCCTAAGCACACAGGGAAGGAGAGGGGCCTCAGCTGCTGGACCTGGGGTCCCAGCTCTCCGGCCGCCCCATGCCCAGGGACCCCCCCCTGCCCCAGGGCAGGGCATCCACTGCAGCTGGAGCAGCTGGGTGGGCTGGGGCCCTGCTTGCCTTGGAAATGCAGGGGTGATTTCAGGCTATTGGCTGAGCACAGACATTTTCCACCTTGCAAAACAAGGAGTGCAGAAAGCCCAACTAAATTGTAGCAAAGACGCTAATTTTTCAGCTCGGGAGACTCCTTCACTGAGCCTTCTAAATGTTCCTTTTGCTATTTTCTAGCAAACAGCAGGCACTTAAAATTTCGAGTTCAGACCAGAGGTAAATGAGTGTCTTTGAACCTTGTGGCTGGAGGTTTTCTTACCTGGCAGGACGGACTCGATCCACACCGGGGCATGGCCGCGCAGCGTGAAGCCAAAGCTTCTGTTGCCTTTATAAACTCGCACAGTTCTGCGGGTGAAAAAAGCAAACGTGAAATCAGAGCCCAACAAGTATTTGGTTCTTGCTTCCCCTCCCAGCCCCGTTAGGCTGAGTATCCCCTGGGTGCCCAAGCCCTCGGTGCTCCCTGTGTCTCCGCAAGGTCCCCTTTGATGCCGCAGTGTCTATCGAACAGGAATCCCCTGGACGTGCCCTGTTGTGATGGAGGGGGGGTGTGCATGGGTTTGGTGGCCTCAGATGGCCACACTGCAGCTGCCTGTCCTGCCTGTCCCTCCTGCCTGCAGCCTGCCCGTGCCAGGGAGCAGAGGGAGCGCACGGCACTGAGCCAGCGTGGGGTGGGGAGTGATCCTGGGGTCCTAGAAGTGGCCCAGACAAGGGCTGGAGGGATGCGGGTGCTGTCCCTGATGTGCTGTCACCGCAGCCCTGGAGCAGATGCAGTCCCCACTGGGACCAGAGCCACCCGTGCTGGAGCTCTGGAGTGGCTCCTTTAGACCCAGTGACAGCTTTCTGCAAACCAAAGCTCAGCACCCGTTAACACCGGGGCTTCAGCTTGGGGTGGGTGGGGGCTCCCTGAGCTCCAAGAGCCCCTGCACACAGCCTCTTGCTCTGCATCGATTACCAAATTCATAAACCCACCCCCGAGTCCTTCAAACCCGGAGTGTTTAAGTGGAACATGGGATGTAGTGTATATATTACATGGAGTAAGAGGGACAATGTGTTCACAGAATCACAGAATAGTAGGGGTTGGAAGGGACCTCTGTGGGTCATCTAGTCCAACCCCCCTGCCGAAGCAGGGTCACCTACAGTAGGCTGCACAGGATCTTGTCGTGTTTTAGGTGGCAAAGAGCTCGTAGGCTGGTGAGAAAGAAATGAAATTCAGCGAGGAAATTTTGGAAGGAGGTTAGGCAGTCTGCCTGCTGGGAGGCTGATGGCGGCTGGGAGTTGTTCCCCGCAGGGAGCTGGGGGAAGGCAACATCACCGAGATCGTTGACAACCAGAAAGCCCGTCGTAGGGACCGATCCTGCGCTGGCAGGGAGGGAGACACTGCTGGAACTGGATTTTGGGTGAGTCACGCCAAAAATCCCCCTGGCAGGAAGGTGTGCTGCAGCCGAAAGCCCCGGAGATACCAGCTGGAGGCAGGGGACAGCGCGGGGGTGGCTGTGGCAGCGCAGTCCCTCCCGGGAGGACTCCCCAGCCGCGCCGGCAGAACAAATCCTGCTCTCCCGTTCCTGAGCCGGGGCTGGGAGCGGAGCAGGAGCCATCGCGGCAGGGCCCCTCGGCCCTCCGGGGCTGCTCAGGTCCGGCCATACAGGCAGTGGGAAATGGGTGAATCCCCTATGCACCGGGGACTGTCCTTTGTCCTTGTCCTTCCTCCCATGGCCGCAGCCGTGCACCCGGACACGCGCCGGGGCAGGATGCTCTGTGCCCAGGGGCTCTGCATCCCGATGGCACGGCCGAGTACGCTGCGTCCCGCCGGCGTGGCTGGGGAACCCG